TATAGCACCAGTCAAAGCAGTCAGAGAAGATTGAAGTGACACAGGCCCACTGAGTAAATAGTGAAACATGCAGCACATCATGAAATATTCAGCCAGGGTGTAAAAGCTCTAAATGCTTTTTCAGTTATTAGCACCTGCACTGGCTGCACACATCTAACACTAACAGCATGTTAATTGCCACAATTTGTTAGGGTACTTGCAGGAAAAATTTTGAAGGCATGAGACGTTCTTTAGCGTGTCTTCAATTCCTCTCTTACCTTCAGCAAGCCCACTCATTCTTCCTAAAATTAAGCATCTGTGTGCATACACTTGCTAAGACATAACCACAAACCCCTAAGTCAGGTAGGAAAACTCAAAATTCCTGAACCCCAGGCAGGGTGTCTCTAAAGACCCTGAATCTTGTGCAGGAGACTGCTGAACATCTTTTTGTGCATAAAATCCAGATATGTCTACCTGAGAAAGGCACAACTGCAGACTCAAACAGACACAGGTTAAAGAGGAGTAGTGTTTTTATCAGGTGTGGTTTGTGTTGACTTTTTATATAAAGAGAATTTTATTGGAGGACAGAATAAAAAATAGCCAAGACAATGTCTTACTAATGTGTAAAGACAAAGAGATTACAGTTTATTTTCAGGCAGCCCTGTTTTCAGGGTCCTCCCTGCTGGTCACACAGCATTCTTGTTCCCAGTGCTCAGCACTCAGGGTAGTTTCACTGCAGACCAGGGAGGGCATGTTGCTCTAGTTCTCAATTGCATGTATATAATAGCATAAGACAAGGGTGACATAATACAAGGGTATGTTTAACAGTAGTCATTTACTGAGGCAGCCCTTTAGTCCTGAATGGTCTTTTCAGTTCTGTCCATCCCCAGTGAGTACCCAAAAGTTTCAGACTCAAAAACTCAGATTTTGCAATGGTTATAACTGTGTGCTAGGGAAGCAGTACTCTTTAAAATGTAATGTTGACTTCCTTGCAGTAGGTTTGCTGTAAGTGGGATTTATGGTTTTGCTTTAGGCTGTTGTCTTCCAGGCAGGCTTTTTGGGTTTGCAGCTGTAGCTTGGCATTTAGCGTCGTTTTCAAGTTTAATTGCACATGAGTGGCATTATAGGCTCTTCAAAACCTTGAAAAGATGGCATTTTGCTCTTCATTTTAAGTCATGCGTATGTAATATCTGCTATAAGAACCAGAGAAGCTATTTTTAAACTGGGGTTATGGATGAGGGAAATTTAACTTCTGTTCCTTTCTTTCCATACAGGCTACACATGTTTTTCCTAGCCAGAAGGACCAAATGCTTTGGTCATTGCAAGTCATAAAAACCAACATCTCAATTAAAACAAGTACTGGGGGTTTAATTGACAGAAAGTGCTTTTCTTCATATGATTTAAATTCTTGAATCAGAGGACTTTGCAGCCCTGGAGAACATAATGACTGCAGTGTGAATATAAGCATTTCTGCAGTAACCTGCCAATGTGACTCAAGCACAGCTTGACAAGGCCATCTTCAAGGATGAGGAGGCAGAGAGGCTCTAGAAACATTCAGTCCATGATTTGGCTGTAAGGGCAACAACTGTAATGCTTTGTGTAATATAAATTTTAATGGGAAGAGGGTGTCCAAAGGCCTTAGGCAGATTTGACAGCTTTGGCCTCTCTGTGTGTCTATCTTAATTAAATTTTAGGATTTGCAAAACAGGTTTGGATCATCAGATTAATGAGGGTGTATATGTCCAAAGTAGTAATACTATTTTATAACTGATCAATTCAGTTTTTAAATACATAAGTCAGTGTATCTTCTGATACACTCAGTAACATCTGAGGACAAAGTTGGACCTAAGTAGCAAAGAGTTTCCAAAGTCCAGAGACAGCTTCAGGGATCACTTTACTGAGAATGAAAGAACATTGATTAAAGAGAAATTAAAATAGTATCTTAGCCTAGAAGATTTAAATTTAATAAACCCACTTACATGGATAACCCCACATATTGTGGAACAGAATGTGGCTAGTCATATCACAGAGTCCTTCTCAGGCAATAATCCATTTTCCTGGAGTAGAAGTAGAAAATATTATCTCCTAGCATGTTTTCATGTTGCGTGTCCCATCCTTTTTGCTTCCTTTAAGGTTCCCACTTGTTATACTCCAAGCAATAAAGCAGAGTCTAAACTGTTTATGATACTGCCAATAAATGCATGTATTGATTAAAAAGACAAAAATCGAAAGGGCTTTTTTAAAAAAAAATCACAATTTGTTGCCTAAAACTTCAACAGGGGATTACAGCTGATGATTCACGTGCTTTGTTCTTCCCTGAAACCAACTTATGTTTAAGCCTAAAATATTCTAATAAACCTTTGGAAGAAGGTACTTTGAATGTTCCCTGTTAGGATGCAAAGCCCTAAAGAACTATGCTAGGCTTTAAGCACTTGCACTCTAAAAACTGCTTAAACCTCAAGGCAATTGACCCTAATTGGATGTCAGATATCTGATACCACCTGCTTTGTTATAACATTCCTTTCAATTTGTATCATTTCTATGAATCATTTTTGTGTCTGGGATTAGAGTATTGCTAAATAATCACTTGTGTTAAAGCTTCAGATCATCTATTTAATTTTAAATCTCAGAGCAGAAAGGAAACACTGACTACAAAACTAGAATATGGCATTGTTTAAAAATTGATTTCTTACAGTTCCTCTGATGAAGGATAGGGGGAAAGGAAAATTCCTTCTTAAATGTGCTTGATTTCTGAAAGGAAAAGATGTGATTTGACTGGTGAACTTTACTTTTAAAAAGTGAACTTTTCAATGCTCCTCTAGAAAAACTCATGAAGAAATGTTCTGTGGAAGTACTGGGGGAAAAAACCCAACCCTGAAACAACAGAAAGAAAAACATTCCTCAATGGAACTCCTGAAGATTCCTAATCTTTTGGCAAACTTTCTTATTTTGAAATATATAGGTAACACATTCCATTAGAAAAAATAGGTGGCACAGAGCACCACTAAATGTAGTCTGAACATTAGTACAACCTTCAAATGGAAGTGTGTTCATGGCTGCAGATCTTATTGTACCACCTGCAACTCTGAGCAGATGGGGAATGCCCAATGAGTGGCATCTCAGCTTTCAGATAAAACTACCATGGCTGCATCTTGCTGATGGATGGAAGAGAATGCAGAGTCTGTATATTTTTATAGAAATTTTAAAATGCCAACAAAACAAGAACCAAACCCCCACAACAAATGCCTTTGTGATACAGCTTTTTCATCTCTGCTTCCTACGAAAGAGGGAACACACTTACACAAGGCCTGTCATTATTCACCTTGGAGCAGGAACAGAGACTCCAGGTAGTCCAGTAGGGCTTCCCTGCTGCCAGTGGGTTACAGTGGAATCACTGAACTGTATTCTACTGAGAGAATTAAAAAACTTTGAAAACATAGTGTTTCTTTTTTCCAGATGACTCTGACTTATGTCTTTGCCATGTAGGGCATTGATTGTCTTAAAGCATCAGAAGATTCTGGTTTAAATGGAACATTGTATTAATAATTTCTCAACTTTTTTTGAACCACTTTCTTTGGAGTTGACCCTGAGTGAAATGCATGAAAATTTTCCACTGATTTCAATGGATCTGTAATCAGTGGCTATGAAATCACAGTAATTGATCACCCTGACTGAATTTGAGATTGTACTTTTCATAGGAAGTAAGTGTTGGTTGCATGGTTACTTAGCATATACCATGTTCAAGGTACATTAACCTATATCACACACCATGTTCACAGTCTGCTTTAGCAGTCGATGCCGAGGAGAGGATCTCACCACAGTGTGCTGGTTCAAATGCTTTAGAAGCAGGAAACTTTCCTGTTTTAAGAGCTCAGACCATATGGGCATTTCTTTAACAGGCTTCAAAGGGCAAACTGCTTTAAAATTTGGATACCTGTCTCAGAGCACTTAGTATATTCTTACATTACAAATACTCCTTTGAAATGTTACAATTCTATATCAAGATATTTCAAGCATTCATGACAAAAACCTGAGGTAAAGACTGTAGCTTTCCAGACAAAGCACCATTGAATCATGCTAAATATAAGATTTTAGGGTCAGTTTACTCTGTACCTTGTGAATATGATTCTGCTAATGCTCTTGCATAATGCAGTCACTTAGGGGTCTTCACCAGCATGTGAGTGTTGGAGTCTCTTAGTACTTAGTTTAATGGTTGATTTTAGCATATAAATTAGAGGACTCTGTGTCTGTGCTTAGATGTAGCTATATAGCTGGAGAGCAAGTTCATAAAAATATCTTTTATTTGCTTCTCCTTTGAGAAGCCTTGTGCTTTAAAATGTTTCAGCAGAAACACTTAGAAGGTTATCACAGGTAGAGTTGTCAGAGAAAATGGACATTGTTGTTCGGTATTAAAATCATGTATTCCAGATGTGGGCATTTGTTAGTCAGTCTGCTCTAAAATGACATACTGTTGAATCTTTAAAGGGCTTCAGTTTGGGAAAGCAAAATATGATTAGGCAAATTGCTAAAATATTTAAAGTGCAGCCTGTTAAAGCTTTTACTGTGAAGAGCATCACGTCAGAAGTTGTATGTGGTAAAAGCAAGTAATTGGCTTTCCATACTTATGCCAGTCAGTCAGCATGGGGCTCTGTTCCTATCCCTTCTACTTCATTGCAGATGCCTATAGAAACTTTGATATTTATTTCAGAGGGGTGAGACTGGGAAGAAAGAAAAAAACTTGGATGGATGTGATGGTGTCAGAAAACCCTATTTAAAATTAAATTGTTATTGGCATAAAAGAGGATAGAAAGTCATTGAAACTGCACCCAACATTTAAAATTTAATTTTTTGTTTTGGTATGCTGCTTTTGTTTAAAAATGTCCTTATTGAAACCATGTTAAAGTGTAAATACATTTCATTCTTTTACTTTTGTCCCTCTTTGTACACAGCTTTGGGATATCTTTCCATCCATAATTCATAGTATTTTCCATTTATGCTGTCCTCAACTTGTTTTTCCCCAGGCATGACCCCTTGTTAATTCCTGGCAATGAGCAGATTGACAATATGGATGCCAATGTGAAAAAATACGACTCTACAGGGATGTTTCATTGGTGTCCAGCCAAAGACATCGAAAAGGTCATTTTGGTAGGTATTGATGATGAGTTGTGTTTGAAAAGAGGTTATTTAAACCATAGGACTGATGTCTAATGGATAAATAAGTTAGTCTCTACTGTCACAAAATCCAGGAGCAAGAGTGATGAAACCAAAGCTAGGATTTTGGTTAAAGAATTTTGATTGCATAAATCTTTATGCCCAGTGCAGCAATAAAAATTCATCCAGTATAGGGAATTTTTTTTTCATAATTTTACATATTTGGTTTGAAATTTACATATTTGGTTTAAATCTTTTTAGACAATTATGATTAGAAATACTTGAATGCTTACATACCCTACTTTTCTCATTACACAAGGCAGTAATGATTCTAACACAGGCAAGTGTTGTTTTGACTTACCTCTTATTTATTGATGGTTTATTAATTACAGTTAATTGATTTTTTATTAATTTTGCTCTTTTACAACTTCTCTCTCAATTCCCAATATTTCAAGATGCCCAAATAGGCCAGAGCAAGTAATGCTCCTACTCTGACTCTAGCATGTTGCAGTGAGCCCTGTCTATGTTTGTTTCATTCCTTTAACTGGGAAAACCATCAAACTGACTCAAGTCATTAAAAATAATTAGGAGACCTATCACAGTCTATTTTGAAAGTTTATGCCACTTGTGTTCATGTACTTATACCTAAGAGTAGCAAGTAACTAACCCCAGATCTCACACGCAAAACTGATTATATTTGAAATGAACTCCCTGGTGGATCTTCACTTTGTCGCACTTCATAAAGCTTTTCCCGAGCCTGCTCTCTTAGATTTTCCTGCACTGTGGTATGGTGTAGCCAATGATGGTGACAGCCCAAGTTATTCTAGCAATCAGGGGTTAAAAGCTTGTCTCCAGTTCTCCTCAGGGGTTTCTGTAATAACTCTGACATTGCCTGGAATTGCAATATCAGTGTTTAAATAGCCAAGCATGTAAATTCCAAATTTTGGAGATGGAGCTTTGAGATGGAGTTTTTCTAACAGCTTTAAATAGCATCATTTATTTGTAATCAGCAAGCAAGAAGGGGTAGCCCTGCTGTACATTTTGTAATAGAGATAAAAATCCTCCTTTGTGTTACAAACACATTTTAGCTGACAAACTACATGTTGCCCTACACTGAAAAGTGTTCCCCCACAAATGGTGCTGGGGAGTGACTCAGTCATCATCTCAATGTTATGCCATGTTAGTTTTTTCCACTACCAGCCTGTGAATCTGCAAGTCTGCCCTGGTTCTTTCTGCTTCACGCATCATCGCCAATACAGTGCCAGCAAAATGATTCCCTACACCTTTTCAAACTCACAGTCCACAATTTATGTCTACATTCATATTATGCAAATTTAATGCTGTCCTTAGAGACCACACAAGTACAAATTAGTGCATAATTTGAAGATGATGAGATTTCCCAGGTTGTCTTCTAATTGATACTTGATGATGTCCCAATCAGAAAAGAATTAATTTTTCTGCCCAAGGTCTGTTTTGGCTCTGTGACATTCCAGCAGTATCAGGTAGTTAAAAGGGATTTTTGCCATACATGGCTACATACAGATTTATGGAGTGATATTTTTTACATACCTGCTTTCAAGACTCGATCTCTGTCTTGTAAAGTCTGAGTATTCCAGATGCATGGGCAGAGGCATGGGACAACTTAAATGCTTCACTTGAGGATTCGCTCCTGTCTTCTGCTGTTTGAAGGGCCAGGACGACTCTCTTGGTTAAGCTGTATGAAAATCAGTGTAATTTCTCTGGAGAAACTGAAAGCTCACGCAATTTTTAACTGATGAGAAAACTTCTAATCAGAGTTCCCATTCTTCTGACATAATGAACATATCTGCCACATATTCCAATCTTAATTGCACACCACCATGCTTCTGTAATTTAGAAAAATGACTTATACTGTGGATAACTTAAAGGAAAACTTTGCGTATTGCCACTGGTTTAGTTTTGATCATTGGGAAAACTTCTGTGTAATGGTAGAGAGTGTACAATTTCTTGGCAATATGGTATCAGTGGTTCTCCAACTACATGATGGAGCACTACAATGCCAAGACTGGCTTCAGAAATTAAGGTAATTTTTTCCATGTGGGTTTATTTAATCATCTTGGTGTTTGAGTTGCCTGCTCAACTGAACTAAACAATGCTGAAATTAGTGCAAAAATTTATTCTTTCACTGAGACAAGAAGATAATTCTGGACACTGTTTAAATATTCTCCATGAGACCTTTTCCTCAGTAAGTCCAACTGGCCTGAAAGTTTAGTGTTAGTCACAAACTTGCACTTGTATTTTGTTACTGGGAGAAGCTCTGTGGCATAGAGTGGGCATTCACTGGAAAGCAGAGCAGTGTAAGACATTCATGGATTGCTTCTCGGGGAAGCAGCAGCTTGTCCTTGAATAAGAGCTTTGAATCTAAGAAAGTATGGTCCTCAACTCACAAGATCTGAGTAATATCACAAAGGCCTACTAGGAACACTGGACACAACCTCTTCCTTTCTAAATTGGCATTGAAAAAACCCATCCAGTGATTTGTCAACTAGGGTATGACTTTGCACCTCTTTTCTGTAATCCTTAGCTAAACCTACAGTACTTTGTAGCCAGAGTCTCAATCCACATGTATAGAAACTTGCACAGAACCAGAATTTGGTCCAATACTATGTCTTCCCAAATGCCAGAGGATTTGCAAACAAGAACTTTTTTTTTCCTACTGAGCACGTATAATGAAATATAAATAAAGGTAAAATAAATAGCTGTATCAAACTACTTCTTTGTGCATGAACAATATTGACAGTTGTATTTTTCCTGGTTTTAAACTCAATATATGATTTAAGATTCCCTTTGTTTCATTTTTCCCTTGTCTTTTTGTTTTGTTTTGTTTTTTTTTAGACTCGAAGTGAAGCAGCGATGACAGTTTTAAGTGGGCATGTAGTCGTTTGCATATTTGGGGATGTTAAATCTGCTTTGATTGGATTAAGAAATTTAGTGATGCCATTACGAGCCAGCAACTTTCACTACCATGAACTCAAGCACATTGTGTTTGTGGGTTCACTTGAATACCTGAGAAGGGAATGGGAGACACTGCATAACTTCCCCAAGGTTTCAATCTTGCCTGTAAGTTCAAAAGCCATATTATTGATACTTTGTTATTTAGGACACCAGCTGGACAGATTCGTATTGACTTTGATCTTAGGGTTTTTTACTTTTGTCTACTTATAGGCCTGAGGACTTAGATTTTCCCTTTACTGTGTCTATGAAAACAGAGCCCTGTGAGACCTTATTAGATGTTATTTGCTGCAGTGTTTGGTTCCTTATCATCCTCATCGGATGAATTTCAGCTGCTATCAGATGTATTGGCTGTGTTGTGTATTGACCATTCACTGTAGTGCCCTGCATGGAGCTGGTTCTGATGTTGTGATTTCCCTGACAGAATGACAGTAGTTATTTATAATATTATTTATGGTTTTATACCCACAAAACCTTTGAAAAAATTGTTACTCTGTCTACATAATATTTATATGTATTCATAAAGACTTCCTGTGGACTGGCCTGATTTATAAGGAACACTGCCTTGGCATTTCAGTTCAAAGTCCTATATGAAAGTACAGAAAAACCCTGACCCTTCTTAAATCAATGAAAAGCTCCTATTGATCTTGGTAGGCACAGCCACTAAAACTGCAAAAGCCCTTTTTCTCCTATATATCATTTTGATTCACTCATATGACCAAAATGTAGAATCAAGAGCTCCAGGACTAACAAATTAAGTCCCCCAAGCTGGTGATCTTAGGTGATCATAGCTATAAATGACATGTGGGAGCCCATGGTATAAGTGAAAGGAAGTGCTCAGCATGTTATATAGTAAAGTTAGTTTAGATATTTTTAAGAATAAAAAATTATAAGTTTACTAGTTCTTAGTAATTTCATTTCAACAGTTAAAAATAAATAAATCAATGATGGAAGTAACCTTAACTGAATAATTGGGAAAATAGCTATAGAATGAAAGGTCTGTCTTTGCTTTTTGATTAATTCAGACTGTAGGTCTTTGTTACTGTAAATGCAGTTTTAGTGTTAGCCCTTGGCATTTTTCTGTAACCTGATCCAACAGACGGTGTCACAAGATTCTCTGCTGTCACAAAAATGGTGTCAATATCAGATTTGGTCAGTTAATATCCTCCTCTTTCTGCCAATTCCTTTTAATTCCTGTCACTGTGAAGGCTAAAGACTAGAGAATCAGAATTAAATTGATAATACTGTTGAACTATCAAGCAGAATAGAATCCTGCCACTGTTTCCAGTATGTAATGTTTATCCATTACTCCAATATATTTTTGCAAAGTTTTGATTCTGAATTCTGAAGAGGCATAAAATAAATGTACACCAGCTTTACTTTCCCCAGTTTACACCAAAATTCAGAATAGCTTTAGATTAATTTTGACTTGAACAGCTTAAATAGTTAGTTGATGCAACTTTAAAAATACAGAAATTTATAAAGGAATTGTATCTGACATAGTAATCAAGGGTGCTGAAGACCATACAGACTTCATTCCTGTTACTTCCATTTTTTTGCAGCCTATCTGGTTCAAAATGGTGATATAAATTTAAAATATCTGATGTAATTATACTAATTTTAAAATGTACTTAAGGGTCTGAGATTATACTTGCAGGAACCTGTTAAAGGGAGGCCACTTTCATACTTCTCTGTGCTTTGGTTCACAAGGTAAAACTTGCTGCTGATATCTGATGGAGATGTGGTTACAGCTGAATATGAAAACATTTGTTCTAGTTTAAAAAAAAAAGTGTAATTTAAAGTCTGTATTAAAAGATGCCTTTAAGCTCCTGAGTAAACTCTTAAAAAGTAGGCAAATGCCAATTTTAAATATCCTCAGGCAGCCTAAATTCTGTCCCTTTGCATAAAATCATTAGGAGTGAGCCTTTAATTAATTACATGATTGCATATTATTTTTCCCCACAGGAACCCTGCTTCACTTGGTGCACAGTACAGGCACAAAGGGCAGGATTAAGGTGGCTGGAATAATCATATTCTAACTTTGGAGCAGTTTATAATGAAATCATATCTGTTTGATACATACTGCTTTTCACAAGGTTTCGTGCCTCAAATTATTGAAAATTTCTTGGAATAATTAAACTTGCAAACACTGAATAAGAATTGACCTCTTCCTTCACTGTGTGCATTTTAAATTTACTTTTGCAGTGAGTACTCTCAGTGGAGTTCAGGAGGTATTCACCATGAATGATCAGGAGATGGAAGACTAGGGTCTTGACTTGATTTTATGAAAATCACTGCATGACACTGGGACAGTTATGTCTCCTCATCATCGGGGTCTTTGGGTACCAATCCATGTGAGGCAGCAGAGTTGAATCTAGTTTCCATTGAAAAAAAAAGGAGTATATTTCCTGGATATTGCAGCCCTGTGATGTAGAGTTAATAATTTGTAACTACAGTTGTGGACTGTTGAATGTGGAAGGCAAGTGTATTTTAAACAAAAAATATCATGTTAAATGTCATATCTCAGCTTTGTTAACTATGAAAAAAATCCGCAGGCTACCACAGCATTTCATTTTAATGATTCCGTTCTCTGATTGAGGATTGTGGAACAGGGAACGTTGCACAAGCTGTGCCCATTAGGATAAAGTCCTGCTTCTGTTTCAAAGGGTTTAATCACACAGCTTTGAAGCTCAGTGTGTTTTCCTTCTAGAAGCACCAAAAGCGTGCTTCGAAAAGGATTAACCTTTTCTGTGTATTGCTTTAGGTAGAAAAAAATAGCTTTGTCCTGATTGCATTTCAAATGTGCAGGACACGTAATGCTTTCCTGTTTAAATTGCTGTTCTTTTGCCCAAGACCATTGTGGCTTGGTAGTAGATAAATAGACATTTAAAACACCCCCCTTGTTATATTCAGAGAGCCAGAGGTTGCCACATGATAGCAGCTTAAATCAAGACAATTTCAAGTCACTGATGAGATGTAGAATGCTGGCATTATTCCTGTTTCTTGTTTGTTAGTAATAGCTTGACTGAGTATTGAGACTGAACCTAAAATGCTGCCATCAGCACCAACTACCCTTTAGATTAGCACACATCTCCTATTCCCTGGCACATAGTTAGACCAGCTTAATGTCAGAGCATAAAAAAGATACTTGTTAAATAATTTCCCAAAGCTCCTTCTCAATCTTTAATTTGTTTTTCTTTTTTTCCCCTCTCCTGCACCCCCCTTTTCTCCTCGCTGTGCCGAAGGGTACGCCATTAAGTCGGGCTGATTTAAGGGCTGTCAACATCAACCTCTGCGACATGTGCGTTATCCTGTCAGCCAATCAGAATAATATTGATGATGCTTCGCTGCAGGACAAGGAATGCATCTTGGCGTCACTCAACATCAAATCTATGCAGTTTGATGACAGCATTGGGGTCTTGCAGGCTAATTCCCAAGGTAAGGACTGCCCTATAATACTTCTCTGCAGTGCCTACAGGGGACAGGACCTGGCAGGAAGAATATCCCTCACTCAGTAATTCAAAGAGCCCTACATCAGCTTGCTTGACAGTTAAACCTGCTGATTGGTATGATGGCTTTTAAAGGGACAGTCACATAGTTTCTCTGCTACATCACAGAGCACATCTTTCAGAGGAAAAATGAATGAACATGAAACTGGCATTTTTTCTCATTTTAAAATTTTCCTAGATAATGTATAAAAACGTCATTTTCTCACTGTGGCTTTCTTTACAGGGTGAGTTGCTGTTATATAACCAGTGATAACTTGCAGTTATTCTTTGGAATACCTGAATTCTATCTAACAAAATTTCTTTTTATGTAAAACACATTGAAACTACAGAGAAAATGCAAGTTTTAATAACACAAGCCAAAAAGTAAAATAAAAAGAACAAGAACTTTTAATTTTCTTTACAGCTTTTGCGCCTTCTTGCTCAAGAAGCCACAGAGAATTAACTCAAAGCTGGTTTCTTCCCATGGTTTGACATGCACTCATCCCATTTAAGAACATTGAACAAAATCTTTCAATCTTTCCTGAGAGTAGGGGACTGATTCATAGGTTGCCAAAGGCTATTTTACACCATCTGTGCTGGTGCAAAGCAGCTGCAAAGCAGTCATAAGCACCCTGGCAAAGACCATCAGTGTAAAAACAATCATCTTCCCATCCCTGAAGGGTCCTGCAGCTTATGCAGCTGAAGTCCTACCTTTGATAAACCTATTAAGTGCAGCAGTAAATATTCCCTCTGGATCTAGTTCTGCTGCAAATGTAGGTGGAAAGGATTGTGCTTTGGTCTGCAGTTTCCCCGTGAGCCTGATCTAGACATAGTTTTCCCTCAAGGACTGTGAGAACTAAGATTAAGTTCAGATTTTCCTCTTTACACTCTAATCAGGAAATAGGAATTATATGCCAAAAATCAGATGTTGCAATGTAACGTCTTGAATATAGAAACTTGAACATAGAAAATTCTTTCTTAGAATCAGCAATAAAATAGTGGAATTCAGTACTGGAATTAAATTGTACCAGGAAGCTAAAAGTTTGAACTTTTCAAAGTCAAATTGGACAGTTTTCTGGATAAGAAATAGATTTAGAGAAGAAAAGGAAGAAACTGATTGTTTTCAATCCCATGAATGTTGAAAGTTTCAAATCTGTGGTCTGGAAATAACACAACCCCAAATATTTTAGAGTTCTTTCTTCACAAATTTGTGAGGCCAACTTGCTCACACTCTGATAGCTTGTAGTCGTGAGTAGGAAACTCATTGCAGAAGTGGAAGACATGCACAGAGGTTCCTTGTTTTGGTGGTTTAGCCCTGGGATCTGAAATTCTGTATCTCAAAACTAAATCTGTACTTCCACTACCAGGCTAATGGCTATTTGTCAAATCTCTCTCAGTCTCCTGTCACACACATAATTAAAATAATCAAGAATCTCTTCTTGAGCACAAACAGTCTGAGAGAATTTTCTATCTTTGCTTAGAAGTTAGAGACATTTCCAGCACTTGACTGTTATATTTTACCTCTGGGAGTACACAGGGTCACACCATCCCTCAGTGAGGATAGAGAAACCTGTCAATATCCAGTCTTGTGCACCACATGAACACCTGTCATTTTTTACTCTCCATCCTTGGAGGGATTCAAGGACCTGACTGTATAAAGCTCAAAGAAGCTGATCTGACCTCATAGTTGACCCTGCTTAGAGCAGGAAATAAGACCAGAGACCCTCCAATGTCCTTTCCAGACTGAATTGTGCTGTGACTCTCTAATATCCAGGTTGCTGCTGCAGCAATAGCCCCTGTAGGTCCAGAAGTGTTCACTGGCCATAGTCCAAATCCCTTTAGCCCTTTTAAATGTTGCTGATTCAGAGAAGCAGAGGAGCAATAGGTGAGCACATTTTTAGAAATTTTTGACATTTCTTCAGGTAAATACCGGGCTGCATGTTAAAAAATTAAAGGTGACTCTTTCCATAGCTGTTCTGGGGAAACAGGGCATAACATTAGGCAGGTAACCAGCAGCCTGTTTTAATTGGAAGGACTGAATGAGGAGGGGTTCTTGCAAGCCCAGTTGCTTCAGAAAACAATTATCTTCACAGTAAATTCTCTGTTTATGAAATCCACAACTCCTGAATTGGTTCTGCTCCTTTCAGTACCGTAAATTTTCATGAAAGACCTTGAATAAAATGATTAGACTGTCAGAAGCAGTTAGCATCAGTGGATAGCACAAACTTTACTGGAAATTATATGCAATGTGACATTTTTGTTTCTGAAATGCAGCTTTAACATACGGTAAACACAACTATCATGACAATTACATAAAGTAGGTGATTCAACTTTTGCTGGTCAAGAAGCAGCATATAAGAACAAACTCACAGATTCTTGCCAGCAATTAAGTACCTTTATTTATAGAGCAAGTTGTCATTTTACATTTGTGTATTGCTTGCCTGAGTTTTTCTAGATCTTAATGAATGATTTTGAGTTAAGACTTCCTCATCAATATCATGCTTGGATCTTCTGTGTTATTCTTTTATGTTACTTTTGTTACTGATAATCAGAAACACTGACATTAGAAAATATGGAGGTGTGGCAGAAGGTCAGTTGCCCTGTGACAGGATGTTGAAAAGAGAAGAAATAAAATAAAAATATGTGAGCAGTCAAAAAATGTATGGGGTGAGCTGCAAGATTTTTGGTGAGGAATTTAGCAGTATGACCTTACCCTTGGTATTCTGGCTAAATAAATAGTATTTCATACATATAATTATGTAGTCAGTAAGCGATGAAATCTCATAAGAAAACCTGATATATAATTCATGTTTACATTTCTGAAAAAAATGCAGTCATTTAATTGATAAGTCATTTATTGAATATACAAGGATCTTTCTAGTTTGTATCTGTGATTGTTTTATTTCAGCTTTAGGCAAAAGGTGACACCAGTACAAGAAGGGTGCCATAAAACCAGGATGTGAATTTATTTAACCATCAGATAAGCCATAATTGTTGGCAAGTGTTGAAGTACAGGCCTATGTCTATAACTCCTTTGCTTTAAGTTGGTAGCAGGAAGAGAATCACACATTTTGGGATTTCATTCCCTTTTTCTTAGAGCTTCATCCTCATCACCTGCTTTAACACCAAAGTCACTCTCAGTCCTAGGCATATAAAAATGTATGTCTGTATCCATCCAAACATGCCTTTTCTAGCCAGGGATGTAGCTTTGAAACAGAACCCAGGTGCAATCTGAGAGGAAGGATCTTGTAGAAGAAGCAAGTTGGTGGACACATGACAGCATACTTTGCTGAAAGGGAAATTTCTATAACAATAGGGATAGCAATTCCCAATGGATTAAGTTAACTGCTGAAAAATCAGCTCTGAATTAATCTGGTTTGCATCAACAAAGGATTTTCTGACTACTAGTGCAAGATGAACTTAAAACACACACAGCAATTCTCATACAGAATTGAAGACTTGATAATACTTCCCTATGGTGTTATAATATCCCCAGGTTTTTGAACTGGTTGACAGTAATTATCAATTATCTGGACCTTCTATAAGTAGTGCAGCAACATTTTTGTCCTCTGGCTTGCCCATCTTGGGTCGTAACTGATCCTGCCAGAATTGCATCTCATCTAAGCACAGTGCTCTGCCTCGATCTTCCACAGAAGAAAAATCCAACTCAAAGTTCCAAGACACAGGGAAAAAAATAATAATCTGGACCAGAGCTACAAATGACCTAGCATATCCAGAGGGGATGGCAGCAAACTATCTAAGTTGTCAAATCTATGTTCATCATCAGCTGTCTGGCAACATACGACCAGATGCATGGCTACACAGAACTGTGTGTGCAAACAACCTGTCTTCCCTAGGAAGAAAAGCTTACTAACAGTTTTGAAAGGATTTTCTGGTCTCCTTTACATAAAATATGTACTTCTACTCAAAAAGAAAAGAAATTCTTTCAAATTAAACCTGTACTGTTGGAAGTTCTCACGTTGAAAGTGTTCTCAGGGCTGTCTGCATTGATCGTTTCAAAGCTGACTGGGCAGCTCTGTAGGCTTGCTAGAGGTTAGGGCTGCAGACTCTAATGTCCTGAAAATGAGCTTTTGGAAATCATCCAGGCAGTTCATTGCCTTTGGGAGACCTAGAACCTAGATTCCAAGGACAGAAAGGCCAAAGTGTATCCCACTGAAGCTGCAGCACACTATTGTTTCATTAAGATATCTCAGATTTTGAAGTACAAAATGCTGTCTTGGCCCAGCTCTTCACAAAATTATTTATAAACTCAACCTTATTTTTGACAAGGAAGCCCTGTGTTTGTCTTGATTACCTCTTACAGATCTTGACTGATTTTCTTCCTAGAAATATGTGTACGGAGTTGTGTGTTTGTGTTGGATAAAAAGGTCACCCCTAGGTACTGGAGATTGGTTTTTATTGTCCTTTCTGTTTCTCATTCTGTTCCCTCAAACAGAAATTAAGATTATTTCATCAAGAATTATTTTGGAGAGCAGACCAGAGAATATTAGATCCATAGTCATAACATGTGCTCCTCAGTCATAACATTTTTCCAAAGCACCCTGGAGGACTGGATGTGTGATGGGTTCTGCCTTGGCTGTTAAGTTGGGAGACCTCCAGTAATTTTCCTTTCCTTCATTTTGTTGACATTTCCATCCTTTCTTCTTCAGGTATCATCCATTGACTATTCCTATTTAGTTTTTCATGCTTCTTGTTTTTTTCTTAGAGTCCTACTTTGTGGGGATTTTACTTCTTACTTTATCCACCAGATGAACATGGCCCGACACAAAATATTTATCTTCAGTTGTAACTAAAGCTGCTATTTGGCTTTCTTCCCAAAACCCAGAAAGACAATTATACCTAACTGTTTAGAGATTTATAAATACTGTACCAGAGTAGCCTCTGGGTAGTAACTTTAGATATCCAACTCAATAATTTTCTTTTATTGGA